TCAACTGCTTTGTTGTTATTACAACAAATAATAATTTCTCTAGCATAAAGATTTTGTTCATTTTTAACAGACCCGAATGATAAGAAAGACAGATACACAACTAGTTTTCGCTCAACATTCATCGGGCTAACATTAATTCTTTGAAGAAAATGGAGCAGAGCTACGGACGCCATTGGGAAAAAATATTCCACCTGAAGCAGTCTGAGTTGGGAGACCAGCTGCTGATTCTCCTGCTCCCTCTCTTCGCACAGCCGTGCTCTGGCCAAGGCATTCTCGAGGGCCTGCCTCTCTTTGCCAAGCTGAGACTGTTCCACCTGTAACCCCCAATCAGGAAAAGAAAAAAAAGAGGTAGAAAACAAATCTTTCAAAGAAAACTGAAGCAACCGTTTCCCCAAATGGAGCGATTCCCATTTCTCAACCCCTGTCAGGATGGAGTCTGAGAATGCCTTTGTTGAAATAAATCTCTCCAGAACACCTTGAAAAACCCCTGAGGTCCTTTCCCAGCAAGGATTCTCAAGCTGGAGAGCTACTAACTTTGATTTCAGACAAGGCGAGGGGACCTGATTTCTGCCTCTGTTTGCCTACCTGAATAACCTGCTTTAACTTCCTGAGTTCTTCCTTCTGCCGGCTGGCTTCAGTGTCTCGAGCCTTCAGCTCAGCTTCCAGCTCAGCCTCGTAAGCGCTGATCTCTCCTTGGGCTTCCTGCAAAGCCTCGTTGAGTTCACGTTGCTGTTGGAGGGCCTGCTCCAGGTTCGCAGTTTCCTGAAATCAAAGGTGCCTTTGGATTCTTCCGATCCACCTGTCTGCAATATTGCACAATGGACTGTAGACCTGAGAGGCAGGATTTCCTTGGTGCTCCCTGAGCTCGTTTGTTTTCTTGCAGACATTTCGTTACCCAAACTAGGTAACATCACCGGTGCCGGGCTAGAGAGCACCAAGAAGCCCCCATTCCAACCCTGAGCTACAAATATTCTCCTTTACCGATGCCATTTTCAGAACAGAAAGGGATCTGCTCGAAACACCTTTCCGAAGCAGGTAAGGGTAATCAGAACCTTGCATCGCCAGGTTAGAAAGACGGTTGTCTTCATAACTCACTTTTCTCAGGTTTTCAGCATCGATGGCAACTATTTCCAGCTGGTTCCTCTCTTCCTCTACCTCTTCCAGTCTTCTCAGCAAAGCTTCCTTCTCTTCCCGCAGCGTTTTGCACTCATCGTTAGCTTGCTTCGTCTGATTCTTAACGTTCTTGAGGTATTCCTGTAACCCCAGGATGACTTCTTCCAAGTCTTTCTTCAGGGCTTCATTGGCTGCAATCTGGCCTGCAAACAGATATTAATGACAATTCCCAAGCTACCCCAGATGTTTCTTGCAACAAAACCTTAACTGATGCTTTAAATGCCTGCACCCCATACATCTGAGGCGCACGTGGCCGGTTTTGGTAAGGGTTTTGGATGGAAGAGATGATTGCAAGGGAGAAGGTTACCATCTGTGAGCTGTTGCTCCAAATCCCGGATTTCCTCCGTTTCATTTGCGATCCTGGACAGCACGTCATCCAGGCGGCTTTCCAGTTGCTTATAATGCCTGCTCATCATGTCGAGTTGCTGCTCTTTGCTTGCTTTCTGGGCCTTCATATGAGCCTAGGGACAGAAGGGACAGACGTTGAGACTCCGCAAAGAGGGCAGAGAAGAGCAGCGAAGATGATTAGGGGGTTGGAGGCTAAAACATATGAAGAACAGGAACTGGGTAAGTCTAGTCCAGTGAAAAGAAGGACCAGGGGGCTGACATGATAGCAGTCTTCCATATTTGAGGGGCTGCCCCAGAGAAAAGGGGACCAATCTATTCTCCAAAGCACTAAAAGGCAAGACGAGAAGCAACGGAGAGAAGCAACCTCGAACCAAGGAGAAATTTCTTGGCAGTGAGAACAATTCATCAGTGGAAGGGGAGTTGCCTCCAGAGGTTGTGGATGCTCCCTCCCTGGAGGCTTCGAGAAGACGACAGCCCCTTGTGTGAAATGGTTTCTTTCTTGAGCAGGAGGCTGGACTAAAAGACCTCCGAGGCTGCTTCCCGCTCTTATCCTTCGATGAGGACTCAAAGCAACACAAGGAAAGGAAAACCAAACACCCTCAACAGCCAACCTGAGTATTAATATGCAGTAACTGCAAGTTTTTTTTTTTTAAAAAAAGATCACAAAACCCATTCCAACCTGAATTATGGGCTTTTCCCATATAACATCATCTCCTAACAGCACAGCCCACCTAAACTGTCCTGATAGCAGGTTTTATTACTGTGGTCCGTTTGAGCGGACTTAGAAAATAGTTTGTAGGTAGATTCTGCATGCGCGATTCCCTCAAACTGGGGTTCCAGGCTACCAATTTCTATCCCTATCTTGCATTTGGCTATTTCTGTATCAATAGCAAAAAAAAAAAAGGAACAAAAAAAGAAAAGAAAAAATGACTGGACTGTCAACTACCAAAAGAAAAGCAACAGCAACGGTTAAAAAAAAAAGCAACCAGCCCCCACGAGGAATCTCAGTGCTTAGCCAAACGGTCCCTTTACAAAACTGTAGCAGCGTCCGGCAATTATTTTAAAAAACGCAAAACCGTAATGACTCCGATTCCAAGAATGAAATGATTTCCAGATCTTCCAGGCTCCCTGAAGCAATGCAAAAGAAGGTCGAAGCACGTTTCACGCGAGCGCAATCACACACTCACCAAGCTTCTCAGGCATGGTTGACACACCCACAATCAGGCAAGGTCCTGCTTCCCTTTTCTACAGTCCCTCTCCTGCCGACTCCCCTGCAAGGTCTCTGCAGCTGCTCAGCTGCCTCCAGCCTTTCGAATTGGGGGGGTGGGGGGGGAGGAGGAGACTTACACTGCTTTCTTTGTCTCGCCTTCTTTTCCCCTCCCAGCTCAGCACGTGAAATTCACTGGGGGGAGAAGAAAGCAGCAACGGAAGGCGTTGCTTAACCGGGACGCGGTGACCCCCATCTCTTTGCTCATCCTGTGCATTTGACAGTTGCAGCACTTGGGCGAGGAAGTGGTTTGAAAGAAGAAGCCAGCTCCAGGGACCGTGCGAGATTCTGGATGACGCTTGCACAGCGGGAACTGTGTGTGCCAATCCCCGCTTGTCTCAGCGAATTGGGCTCTGCCCTGTTTGCTTTAAATCACAACACAGGAAGCTGCCCCCGGCAGCTAATCGGCTCCAGGAGTGGCAGGAGGCTCTTCTGCCGCTCCTAGAGGAAACGGCTTCCTTTTGTTTCGAAAGCAAGTGGGGGGGGGGGGGGGGGGGGGGGGAATGTCAGTTTCGGAAGGCTGCAATCTCGGCAGGGTTTTCTGTTGAGAGCTTTGTGGCAAGGAGTAGTCAACCCCCACGGGACTGAAAAGCTAGATGGGCTGGCCTGCAAAGGATCAATGCTAAAGGAATCGCGCAATCGCCAACGTAAAGTAAAAGAATTTGGCTTAAAGAAAGCTGCCTTGGCTAAGGGAACTCTGGGTAGGCCACAGGGCGTCTGAACTTCCTGCAGGCCAGCCGGACGTTGCCAATCTGACAATACACAGAAGCGTCGGACTGACATAGTTGGCAAACATTCCAGAGCGGAGCTGAGTCTCTTCGAGAGAAGAGGTCCTGGTTTCACACAGAAAGCCGCCCATTTTCAAAGGGGAAGGTGCCCACGCTTACGTGTCTTGGGTCTTTGGGATCCAGAGACTCTAGGGAACCTTGCAAGCCTTCTAGCTCCTTGTCCTTCTCCGCCATTTCTTGCCGTTTTTGCCGCATCTGCCTCTCTAGTTCCAGAGCCTCCTCTTGTAACCGATGAACGAGGTGGATCTTGTTGCTCAGTCGCTGCCGAAAACAATCCTTTTCTGCTTCAGATACCTGGATTTGAAAATGCAGAGAAGAGAACCAAAGAAATCGGGGAAAGAATGAGCAGGCAAGAAGAGATTCTCAAGCTAGAAGCTTAGGTATAAAAACTTGGAATCTATTTCAATTCAGAAACTGGGGTTCCCATTCCTGCTTAGATGTCAACTCTCCTTGCCTTAACGGAAATTAATTCCAAATCTAAGTAGGCAGGACTGAGGCTTTCGTGGGTTTCTGGGACAGTCTCCTGTCTTTTTACGCTCAACAACATCGCTATAAATATGAAAATGGAAGATGAAATGCTCAATGTTCCCATTCCAGGTGAAGGAAGGTTTTAATGTTTTGCTCCGAAAAGCATCGTGCCCTCACTTCTCTTTTAAGGCTCTTAAGCTGGAATGTTTGAAAAGTACCTTTTAGGCACGAAAAGACTAATAACTAAGGCTACGTCGCGCATTAAACCATTTTCTAACATATGGTTTATTGGGCTCAACACGACACACGAATGGCAAAGCAGAAACATGGTTTAGCACATTGGTCCTCATGCTCTTCCTTCGTTCCTACATTTTTCTGGGAAACCGCATGCTGGACTTGTTTAAGCTCCTCGGTGACTTTTAAGACCTGTTGCTCCGCTTGGGCGACTTCATTGTGCAGCGTGGCCAATTTTTCCTGGGCTGAAAGAAATTAAAAATTAAGATTCAGTTGAAACGGATTAGAAGCCGGCGATGTGAACAGAATTTCTCTCCTGTTAAAAAAGCAAATCATTTTTAATGTCTAGATAATAATGGCTGCCAAAGCTTTTAAAGGCTTCTTTCTTTCATGCACAGGGTTTGAGAGGCTGCTGAGGATCAGAGAAGGATTTAAAAAGAAAGATCCACACAGCCACCTAATTTGACTTTAAATCTGAAGACCCTCTGAAGTTACTTCAGTGTGTCTTACTGGAATCTATCACGCTGGCTAAACCTCTGAGATGAAGAGCTGTCTATTTCAGGTCCGCTCTATGATCGCAAGGGACTTGATTTGTTTATTGATAGATCAATATCAATCAAACGCTCCTGAGAGGTCACGCCAACGCACAGAGGCCTAAGCTCGTGGCTCATGAGTTCAAGGTAGGACAAGGAAAGCTGTCGATACCTTCTTTAATCTTCCTCTCTTTCTCCTCAAGCTGTTCATCAAGCGACTGGAGAAGATTCTGTTTAAGCTGCTGGGCTTCTTGACGTTCCTCCTTCTCAAGGCTTCCCACCTGCATCTTCTGAGCCTTGCTGGGGAGGTAACCCTCCATAGCAAAGGTGTTCCTTTTGTACCTGGCCTTCCCAATGTAAGGACTTTCACCTGGTACGTTGTCAAATTCAACATCCTAAAACAGGAGAAATAATGCACAGAGTCCAGGGATGTGAGAAGGAACAGCAATCTGAACCATGAGACGTTCTGGCAGTTGCTATTAATTCTTAAGGTAAACGTAAAGGTTCCCCTCCTTGCACATCCGTGCTAGTCGTTTCCGGCTCTAGGGGGCGATGCTCATCTCCATTACAAAGCCAAAGAAGAGCCAGCGCTGTCCGGAGACGTCTCCGTGGTCGTGTGGCCGGCAGGACTCAACGCCTTCGAAGGCGCATGGAGGAACGCTGTTCCCTTCCCTATTTTCCTACTTGCATTTTTACCTGCTTTCGAACTGCTAGGTTGGCAGAAGCTGCTGGGACAAAGAACAGGAGCTCACTCCGTGACGCGGCGCTAGGGATTCGAACCGCTGAACTGCCGACCTTTCTGACTGACAAGCTCAGCGTCTAGGAACGGGGCTACCAGAAATTGGGCTCCTGTGTTAGCCAACATTACAGACCGCTCTAAATCAGAACACCCCCTTTCCAAGAATTACCTCCACTGGATAATAGCCCAACGGCTCGAACTTGGCGTCGATTTTATAGAAAGCCAATTCTTGTTCCAACTCATACTGCTTCTGACAAGCTCGAGTGAGTTCCACGGTTTTCTGCTTCAGCTAACGAAAAATGCAGGAGGTAAAACGACGTCAGTTTCAGGAAGCAGGAAGTCAAGGCCACAGCACAATGGTGAGCGTGGGTTATGGGACAAACTGGTTTACGCTTCGTGTAGAGCTATGGTTTAGAAGACCCATGGTGTGCTGAACAAGCCATGGTGGCAGGGAAGGTCATTAAATGGGGCAAAGATCAACTGACAAGTTGTTCTCACTTAGCAACCGAAACGTTGGGTTCAGTTGTGGTCGTAAGGGGAGGACTACCCGTATCATCTTATTTTGAAATTGGGCTGGTGGGGAAGTAACTTTAAGCCTGGTTTGCTCAGGAACTGATCCACTAACCACCGTTAAGAAAAACCTGGCTAAGTATTGCACAAGGGATCGCATAAAGTGGTTGCCCATGGCTTTACCAGCTCATTCTTGGTTTCCAGTTCGGTCTCCAGGTCCTTGTGGCTCTGTTTCTGCTCCTCTTGCTTCTGTTTTAAGGATTTATTCTGCTCCTCTTGTCGCCGGACCTGCTCCAGCAACCCAGACTCTTTGCTCTGCAAGCGCTCTATCTCCTGGGTCATCTGTTCCAGGTTTTGTTCCAGGCGTTCTATCTCTTCTGCAAAAGGCACGCAAGCCAGAAAAAAAAAAGAAGAAAGTCATGTCCAGCTTCCTCTTGGCAGGAGAGCAAATCAATCAGGCAAATTGGGATTGGCAACCGAACATTTGTTTGTAACTGAGAGAAAAACAAGGGGCCGGCTGGGGCCAAAGAGATAGCTGAGGGAAAACGTGAGGCTATTTGCGGACGAGGTCTTGTATCTCAGATAGACCATACGGACGTACAATGTGGGTTACCATCCAACTGACACAAACCAAGCATGAATACAGCCTAAAAAAATATGGAAGAGTTCATTTTCAGTTGCAGTCCTAAATGCTTCTACATAAGGGGGTTCCATCTAATGCAACAGAATGTATTTTTAGAAGAAATTATCTGAAGGCGTAATGATGGCTCAAATTGGCCCTTATTTACCTAAATTAAATCTTTCAAGGGCTTCTTCCCTGTCGCAGTTCGTCACCGGTTGGCCCTCAAGATCCTCCAGTGACCTCAGGTGGAAGATGGCGTAGAGACGGTAGTGAGGCAGGTTTACCACTGGGTTGTCTGCCAGGAACAGAGAAGTCAAATCTTTCAGAGGCTTCAGCTTGGCTACTTCATGGAGCTGAAAGGAAATAATAGACAATTAATAATATCTCTCTATAAAAGCGAAATGCCACTCACACATCATCACAAAATCTCCAGATTGTTCCCAGTCCTCTATTAATAAACATTGTTGCCCGGGTAGAAAACAACTTACTGATGAGATTTTATTTTTTCTTAAATTTAGGATGCGAAGGGACCGGAGTTTCTTCCCCAGCCACGCAGGGAGGTGTTCGATCTCATTCCCAGCCAGATTCAGCTTCTGAAGACTGTGTAAATGTTCAATGCCTTCTATTTTACTGGACACACACACACACAAAAGAGATGGGTTGACAATCCAGAATTTTAAGGGGAGGAACAGGTTTGGATTTTAACATGTTAGTTTTTATTATAAAGGAAGAGTTATGATCACATTTTCCCATGCCACAGGCCAGGACCCAAAGAACCGAACAACACCTCAGCTTAAATAAAAAGCTAAGACGTTACAAGAATACAAGGGCATCTAAACTTACGGGAAGTTTGCTAACATACATTGGTTTATTGTTATGTATTATTTTTCCATGTACTTCTTAGAGTTCCTCCATGAATTTCTATCCCTTTACAACAAAAGTACAAAGATACTGAAAACTGAAATGGAGAGGGTTTATCTGGAGTTTGCTTAAGGAAGTGTCACGCTCCAGCGTCCCGCGTGAATGGAACCAGCAACAGAGGTGAAAATTTGTCCTTCTCATTTTACAACACATTAGTCTCTGGCTGATGCAAGTTTAAAAAATGGGAACAGCCTTATCTGGGTTTTTTTTTAAAAAAAGAACTCAAGAAAAGCATAGTCTGCTTTGTAACTATTCACTCTTTTTTCTTGCTCACCTTATTTTATTGAAAGAGAGATTGAGGTCCAATAACTTGAGAAGTTTATCCAATTTTTCAATCTTTTCGATCCGATTATGACTTAGATTTAGGACTTCCAGTTTACTACATTTCTCCAGATTTTCTATGTACTGAAAAGAATAAAAATACGCTGTTGGATTCATCTATTCAGCTCTGCAGTTGCACCATAAAGCATTAGAAAGTGTTTCTTTTGGTTTATTTGCAGAATTCCCATCATCTCTTATTTGCCTGTGGTTGATGGTTGTGACGTAAAGTACAAAGCACCAGACACAAACCTTAAATTTCTTCCCTCCATCTTTACCAAGGGAAAGATTCAGAGCAGTTATGCGTGGCAGAGTCTCTTGCTTGGCGAGCTTCTTAAGAAGAGGCTCTGTTATGTATCGGATACCTGGGCTGCCATCTGAAATCGACAGCAAGGTGGCAGTTAAGTGTATAGAAACAGAACAAGGAACAATCTCAAGATTATCAAGCCACAGAGGTGAATTCTGGGAGTTGAAGTCCACACGTCTTAAAATGGCTGAGGTTGAGAAACACCGTACTAAACGTATAAACTGCCAACTCCGTTAACACTCTGGGTGCCACACAATTTACAATCAAACGTTCAATACAAAATAGAAAAAGACCAGCAGGAGAAAAGCGCCACCCCTTCCCCTCCACCCACTTTAAATGGTGTGAACTGGCCTGAAATCCTTATGCTGAGGAGATAAATCATATTCATATCGGATGAACTGATAAGCCAAAATAGAACCACGAAGCACAGATAGTCCTTGAATTACGACCACTGCTGAGCCCAAAATTTATGTTGCTAAGCAAAACTAAGCTGTTAAGTGGGTTTGGTCCCATTTTACAACTGTTCTGGCCACGGTTAAGTGGATCTCTGTATTTCTTAAATTAGTGTCACGGTTGTTAAATGAATCTGGCTCCCACATTGACTTTGCTTGTCTGAAGGTCGTAAAAGGAGAACACATTACCCTGGGACACCGCACAGTCTTAACTCTGAATTCAGTTGCCAAATTCCTGAATTTTGATCATGTGACCATGGGGATGCTGCAACGGTCGCAAGTGTAAAAAACAGTCATAAGTCACTTTTTTCAGTGCAGTTGCAACTTAGGTAACTAAATGAAGGGTTGTAAGTTGAGAACTATCTGTAGTGTATATTTTCCCCAAAAATACAAAAGAGCCATTGTTTAGATCTCCTAAGCAAAGCCCCTGAAGGAAAGCTGCAACGTTTCATATAGTCCCTCACTGATGATTACAATACCTGTTTCGCTTTCTCGATCTCTCTCTCCTTGATATCTTTGACCAGCTGGCTGGTGGGTCGGCACAGCCCCGTCTGTGTCCAGTGGAGATGATGACCTGCTACGGGCGCTTGCAGGAGACTTTGGACTTCGAGAGCGGGACGGAGACATCTGTGGCCTTCCAAGGGATGTTTTCTGTGGCTGGCCTCTCCTCATCGCACAGACCTCTGCATGTCATACGGCAAAAAGCTGAAAGGAGAGAGACCCGTGCTTTCCATAACCAATTTAGCAGCTGCTTCACTGTAAAACCAGAGAAGTCAGCAACTTTTAAACTGGCTCCCCTCCAAAATATTAAACTGCCCCGCACAAACTTTTAATAATAAGGGAAATCAATTAGCAGACACATTCCCCAAGGCGGCCTAGTTTTACGGCTCCATCTTTGCTTACTCACTGCATGCCTCTTTTCCGGAAGCTGTGGTTCCCCTTCAGCGCATAAACACTTTAGCAGATGTTACAGTTAAAAAACTGTAAAGCGTTTACAGTTCCAAAGTAGCAGGATCCGCTCAATAAATCCCTTCAGTGCTTGCCCCGATAATTGGCTTCCGTTACCTACCTTGAGGTCTCTGATTACAAGCCTAGATTGCAGATCTCAAGATGACACGCTCCTCTGTATTGGCAAAATGGGAGCTATTTTATTTTTAAAGATAAAGCCAGAGATCACAACGTTTCATCTTTAGGAGGGAAAAAGTTGACTTGAAAGTAAGATCTGAGCTTGTGTTCGGAAGGTGTACAGCTATTTCTGCACAATCTGTTCTCTACTTAGAGGGATGCTTATGAAAACAGTGCCACAATTTTATTTAATTTTTTAAAAATGTGCCTTTGATGGTTTCGATGTTCTTTCCTTTGGGCATGTTTCTACTGGTATACAAAAGAGCCAGTCATTGCTGGAAACTAGCTTAAACTAGAATCAGGAAAAACACATCGCCTGCTCTAAGGTTGTTCCCAACCGATAGTTTGCTGTTAACACAATTAACACCTTTTTGAAGGAAGGAGGCCCTGTTGTCTTGATGTACAGGTAGCCCTTGATTTACGACCACAATTGAGTTCAGAATTTGTCACTAAGTGAGACATTTGTTGAGTTTTGCCTCATTTTACGACTTTTCTTACCACAATTGTGAAGTGAATCTGGCTTCCCCACTGACTTTACGTGTAGAAGGTTGCCAAAGGTGATTCCCATGACCCTGGGACAGTTGCCAAGTACCTGAATTTTGATCACTGACTGTGGGGATGCTGCAAGGGTCATAAGTGTGAAATATGGTCACTATTTGAACTAAATGAACTGTTGTAAGTCGAGAACTACCTGTAACTGGGTTTGCTCAACCCAAGGAATCAATCATTCACTTCTAATATGTCATCCACTTCAGGGTACTCTGCAAAAGGAGCCCATATAGATAATTTACAGTTCAGTGTCACTCAAGGGCAGACAATCTGCCACAAACCATATTTAAACCATTATTAAAGAAATGCAACCAAGAGAGCCATTTATTATTTTGCATTTTTGGACAAGCACCTCTTTTGAAAACATTTAACTGGGGGTGGGAAGAGTTCCTGTAATAGAAAAATGAAGAAATTCGGTTTCAAATTTGGGTGGATTTCTTTCACGGGGGAAGACACCATGTATCAAAACCTCTATTATAACAATTTAAGTAGAATCCCTAGAAAGCAAAGCAAAACATACATTTCCTTAAAAAAAAACCTGGAAAAAATAATAATTTCAATATTTGCACAACAAAATAAAACCAAGGGCTGCCTGGCAAGATTGTAACATGCTGGAGAAGATGCAAACAAAACAGAAAAAGGGGTTGAATTTTAGGTGGAAAAGACCAAAAAACTGAAAATTTAATAAAAAAAAATAAAAAAAAATAATGATTATGTGTAGAGGACGCTTTGGACTACAGTTCCCATTAGCCAGCCTTGGAATTGGGGGTGGGGTGGAGGGAATGATGGGGACTGCTGCCCCCCCTTGCAACAGACTGGCTTATGGGAACAGCAGTCCAAAGCATCTCCTATATACTCTACGTAATTCTACTTTTTGCTTGCATTTATTACACTTTCAGAACTTTTCTTTAAACCGCCATCATTTTAAGGCAGGGAGAAAAGCTCCCTGTTGCAAGAAGGGACACCCACATCCCGGAGGTGGCTGATGGGACTTGTAATCCAAATCACACACGCAGTATAAAAGTCCAACTCACCCTCTTGACCTCTCAATCCTAAAAAGCGCCGGGGCCCAAATTAAGGGGGAATATTTGAAAAACCGGGCCTCCCCAACCCTATTCCCCCGCCTCTCATGGGACACAAGGGGAGAGGAGGATGGGATTTGGAGTCCCCGGCTGGGGCAAAAGAGTCCTCAGATGGGGCGAAGCCTTGAGGGGAAGGCTCCCGCACTCCCACGCACGCACTCCCGGAGTCGCAGCCTCCAAAATCCGCCTCACCTGTGCGGCCGCGGCCCACTTGGCCGCGACGAGCCGCCTCGCGCGCTGCGCGTTGCTTCCCGCCCTCGCCATGGCAACCGCTGCGGGAGCCCGGCCGGGGCCTTTACGCGAGGCGCCTGCGTGTGCGGGGAGGGGGGGGGAGGCAAAGAAAAAGAACAGCCCGCCCGCGCGCGCGCGCTCGCTCTCTCTCTCTCTCTCTCTCTCTCCCTCTCCTGAGCGCGCGCGCTTCCCCCCCCGCCCGCCCTCCTCGCTCGCGATTGGCTGCTCCGAAAACCTGTCGCTCGGATTGGTCCGAAGGCCTCTCCTCTCTCCGAGGGGCGGGGATATTTAAAAAGTCGGCGGGCTCATCAAATTAGCCAGCGAGCTTGGCCGCCGCCGCCGCCGCCGCGTCTCTCCTTCCTCGCAAGGGGACGATGCTGCGGGGAGCCGGAGAGCCCCCCCCCCAAATTAAAAAAAATCTCACCGGTTCCCCCGCAGCCCAAGTCCTCGAGCTGGGGGCCCGGCAGGGCCTTCTGAGCTTTTGAGGTAATTCTAGCTGAGACTTTTTACACGTTGTAGGATAGGGAGGAGGGGAGCGCGAGTTCTTTAGATAGCCTATTGATAGCCCATTCTCGGGGGGGTAAGGAATGACCTGTGGTAGTTTTAATCACGCCCTGGGTGCTTTGGAGTAAGAAAAAGCGACTGGTCATGTCTCATTAGTAGTGTTGCTTGAAGGACTCCAACACTTCAGGTCACTAAAGATAGTTATTTCAGTCTTACCCGAATGTAGAACCAGAGTGGAAACCTCAATGGCCATTTTTAATGCAGGGTGTGGCTGTTGATCAATTATTGATTTTATAGATTTCTGCCTGGCGCATAACTATAGCCCTGGCGATGGTTCTTAGAGCCAGAAAGGAAACCTCAATGGCCCCTTTTTAATGCTAGGTGTGGCCACCGATCTATAAAAGATCTAAATGAATGGTAACAAGTCACCCCGGAATTCTTGGCCGGGGTGATGGTGAAAGCGGTCCACAAGAGGACAGAATTTCCTCTCTTTTTTTCCCCACTCCACCAGCTGGGCTTGGGGTGAATAGGATCAGTCCTGCCCCAAGCTCTCCCACTGGCTATATCTGCACAGCCTCCCCAAAACAGCACAACTCTTGTGTTTGGAGCCAGAGGCGGCGGTCCAAGGGCCATGCCCTCTGAGTCCCGAATGAGTCACGAAACAACAGCTACAACCTCCGGGTGGTTTGAGAAGGGTTTCTCCTTTCGGTACAACAGTGGAAGCGAGTGCAGTGAAGGACACATTTCCCACAAGAAAACACGCTTAGGAAAAAAGGTTAATAATATGCTCCCTGCCTGGGAAAAAAACATAAAACCTATCTCTAAACAAGCACAGCACACAAGATCGTGTGGGTTAATGATTCCTTTAGCAAGCAACGTTTTCCGGTAAAGGGTACAGTGTTTGCTTCAATTTGCAAAATTTGGTTTCTGTTTCAAGGTTCAGCAGGGTATTGCTCCTAATATGCAAATAAAGCAGCATTGCCCCCCAGAGACCCGTTTCCACATATCAGAACTTCAGGAGTATGCCCCCCCCAAAAAAAGAAGCAATGCAAACAAAAAATATTTTTTCCCTAGGCAAGATATTACTGTAACCTCAAAATGTATATTGAACAAGCAATCTTTATATCTGAGCTCTTCACTTAACAGGTTAGATTACATAGCTTCATAATAAGGATCTTACGTAGCTGAAGTTTAGCTTTGTGTGGGGTTTGTCAGCTTACTCTAATGGATAATTGGAGATTATTGATTTAGGTTTCGCTGGAAAGGCGCCAATGTAAACGCAAACAGGATAAAAGAATATATGGTTTTAAAAACCCTCCGCTCAAAGAGAAAGTGACTACCAGTTCAACCCAAAAGGTGGGGAGAAAGTTAATTCTTCTGCTTTTCTAACCCCAAAGGTACTCCCCCCCCCCAAAAAAAGGCAACTGGATTTTCCTGATTTTTTTTTCTTTGAACACGTTTCGCTTCTCATCCAAGAAGCTCCTTCAGTTGTAACTGTAAGTTAGTGAAACGTTTTCAAAGAAAAAACCCAAGAAAGTTCGGGTGCTTTTTGGAACAGCACCTTGGGACAGCCATGACCTGGATAACTGAGTAAGTTTTTTAAAAAAAATGCTTTAGTGTCTGACAAACGAACAAGAGGCAAAAATTAAAAAAAAAACACATTTCAAGAAATCACTGCCAATCTTTCTAATCAGAAAGGTTTTGCCTGATTATTTAACCTTTTTGAGTTTGAGATACAAACTCAAGGGGGGCTGAAGGGTATCTCTATATTAGATAGTTCTACTGCCTAGGGCGAGACACCCTTCAGATCCACCGCCCTTGAGTTTGTATGTATATATATATATATATATATATATATATATATATATATATATATAT